CCCCTTCCCCATCATGACCCTTCCCCACGTTGCTTGGATAAAAGGTGCTGATTAGCAATAGCCCCTGGCTGGGATCTGTCAGCCAGGGGAGAGCATGGGGCAGCCATGCGGGGCTCAGGGGCAAAGCAGCCACTGCAGCTCCTACTAAAAACCTGCCCCCGCGAGAGCCATGTGCATGGGGGGGAGGAAGCCCCTCGCCTGGGCGCATGCCAGGGTATCACGCATGCATGTGTCAGGTGGGGTCGAACCGATGCAGCAGCGAATACAACCCTAGACACGCCCGCGTGCACGCACGCCACCTCACACACATCTCCACTCTGCCTCCCGAGACGTGCTCACACCCGCCGCCAGCTCGCACACCCGCCAACACTCCATGCAGCTGTTCCCTCGGTCAAAAATAGTGCCAGCCTTGCGGGGTCACAGCTACTTAATTAGCCTGATCTGTCACTCGCTGCGCCCGAGGACGCTTCCCGGCCCGAGACAACAGCTGCAGCACATCAATGAGCCCTGGGAGAAGGGCAAAGGGGGTGGGGGGGCTGACAGTCCCTGAGGGATCTCCTGGCTGGCACCAACTGGCGACCCCGGGGATCCGTCCCCCTCCCATCACTGTCAGGTGCTGCTCATCCCAGTGCTCCCGGTAGGTGCAGCTCCAACAGTGATTGGTGAGATGGATGGCTGGCATGCTAAAGGGGTGGGTTGTGGAGCCCCCAGTAGTCACTGCTCCATTAATTCCCATGGGAGGATCACAATAGCCACGGCAGGCACCCTCCAGGGTGCAAAGGGTTAACCGCCCCCTATCCACACCCCCAACCACGTGCTGCTGCGGGGCTGCTGCTGCCTTACCTCTGCTGTTCTCAGCATCCGGAGCCACTCGGTCGTCCTTGGCAGCCAGCTGGGTCTGGGCTACCAGTGCCCCGGACAGCGCCAGGAGCCCCGAGGTGCCGGCCAGGCTGGAGGGGGGCAGGCCTGAGGGGTGGGGGGTGAGCGGAATGGGGGGCGCATGGTGCGAGAGGTGCTGCAGCTGCTGCTGCTGGAAGGAAAAGCATAGAGGCTCCAGAAGCTGCCGGGAGAGGGGGAATGCCCCAAATCCCACCCCCCCAAAAGATGAAGGGCCCCCTCCCTCAAGTCCCAGAGTCCTTTGCACCCATTGCAGCAGCTGGGGCTCAGCAGGACCAGCAAGCAGGACGCCTCCCACTACCCTGCAGATGTGCAGACCAGCAGGCCTAACGGTGAGCAATGCCCAGACCCCCGTGTGGGT